TTAAGGAATTCAAGTCACATTAATAAGACTTGAATGTTTATAGTCAAAACTTTATATGAAAAAAGGAAGCGTTATGAGCATTTCATAATAGATCATTTTTTAAGTGAATATACAATTGAGAGCTTTGATAGTCTTTGTATGGGGTGAGTTTCATGTTGGTTGAGTTTTCTCTCTTCCTATTTTGCCTTTATTGATGTTTTATATCCAAGAGAGTGTCAAGGGTTCTTAAGAAAGTTTTCATCCTTTAATTATCTATTTTTTTCTTCATTTTCACTAGAGCTGTTAAAACGGGTCATTCGATCTGACCCGGTTCGGTCCACCACGGGTTGGTCACTTAGTGAACCAACCTAACCCGGCATATTTATTAGCAAGCTAGAAAAATTTGAACCCGGCCCGACCCACCACAGGTTGGTGGGTAAACGGGTTGGCTCACTAGCTCACTTACATTTTTTTAAGTAAAAAAATTTACAAACTTTCTAATCTAAACAAATTTTATTCCCAAATTTCACTCCTAACATGGGTGTTTAATTAATTTTGAAAATAAAGAATTTAAATAATATCTTCAAGCAAAAAAAATAATAAATGTTTTTTTTATAAAATTAAAATTATTTTAATAAAATAAAATTAGGTAGGTAGGTTGGTGGGCCAACCCGGCCCACCACGGGTTCAATCCGCATGAGCCGGGTTTAATGAGCCGGATTGAAATCTGACCAACATAAAAAAAATACAATTTTTTCAAACCCAACCCGGCTCGAACCCATAATGGACCGAATTAGCCCGTGTATTGTGTTCCATTTTGACAACTCTAATTTTCACAAGTCTCTTTCATTCAAATCTTTTTATAGTGTATGGTTTTTCTATGCTTCCACCATCCATAATTTATCCTAAACCTTCTACTATATATGTCTATAACAAACCCTAAGCCAAAGAAAACAAAAATCACCAACCTTTCATATCAAACTCAGATCATAAATTTTGCAAAATAAAACCAAAACCTTCTTAACAAAACTTCCAAGATTCTTAAGAAACTCCGTATTCACTTAGTTTTTTCCTCACACTGTGCCTTACATAAACCGAATAATACTTATGAGACTCAATTTTTATTTAGTAAAGATGGTTTAAAAAATAATAAAGGTTAAAATTTTATATTATATTCAATATATAATAGAATTTAAATTATTTTATTACTCATTTACAAAATAATATCTCAAAACGTTTTTCATTTTCATTCTCTTTTAATTTTTTTTCTAAGTTTCGGAAATTGATTCTCATGTTTTTTCAACAGAGTGTACCATTGAGGTCATGAGAGAAATGATCAAATATTTTCTATCAAAATTTCTTTCAGAGAGTAAGTTTCTTTCTTTTCTATAAAGCCTTCTTTTTTCAGTTTTTAGCGGATGTTTTAGATTTTTTAAGGTTTTATGAATTGAGAAGGTGATCCTTCATCAAGATCACTTTTTTTTTCGAATATTTTATATATTTTCTAGGTCACTATACTTCTTAGATGTAGTTTTAAATCCTTTCTTATCATAGGATTAGAGATGTTAAAATGGGTCACAATCCGTGGGTCAATCCGGTCCATCACGAGTTTGAGTCAGGTTGAGTTTGAAAAAATTGTATTTTTTTTTGCGCGGGTCAAATTTCAATCTGGTTCATTTAAACCCGGCTCATGCGGGTTGAACTCGTGGTGGGCCGGATTGGCCTACCAACCCACCTACCTAATTTTATTTTATTAAAATTTAATTTTAATTTTATAAAAAAAATATATTTATTATTTTCTTTCTTTAAAAAATTATTTAAATTCCTTATTTTCAAAATTAATTAAACACCCATGTTGGGAGTGAAATTTGTTTTGATTTGAATTATAGAAAGTTTGTAAAAAAAATTTATTTAAAAAAAATTGTAATTAAGTGATGTGTTTTTCATCTTCTTAATTTATGTGATGAATTTTTGTTATTATGAATTGTAAGAAAAGATATGGCTAGTTTCTCTTTCCAAGAGGGGGGTGAATTGATGATCAATAAAAATAATTATTTTTTCAATCTTTTCGCAAACTAAGAATAATCTTTAATCTATCTCGAAATCCAAGCAATAAAGTGCTGCAATGAAAGTAAAAGAGATAAAGAAAGAAATACAAACATAGGGTTTATACTGGTTCGGCCTCAATGCCTACATCCAGTATCCTTTCAATCAACCTGAGGTTGAAAGCCAATTGCACTATAAAGATATGAGTTTTTACAACAACGCTTTACAGAGATCACTTCTCAAATGTAATCACCTCTCTAAATCACTAATCTAATATAGCCAATACCAAAACCCTGCAGTAAGAACAATCCTCTTCTGTAGTCACCCTTTGAGACACCTCTCAAAGTACAAAGAACTCCTCGCTCTTCTTCCTAGCCACATGCACAAGGAACAACACAATCCAAGATTGCTAAAAATGAAATTTGACCAGTCAAGAGTACACCTTAGTAGTGCAGTACTTGATCGGTAGTGAAAATCCAAATATGTTCTTCAAGAAACCTTCAAGATAATTAACTTTTTGTGTATCTTGTTTCTTGGAGCGTCTTAGCACACCTGTAACTCTTTTCTCAATTCACAAAATATCATATATGAAAGTTTAAAATGATCAATTCTTTTTAGAGCAGTGTGCAATGCGTCAATTTATAGTATTCTCAACAGACGCAATCTAATCGATTACTATAATAATGTAATCGGTTAAATTAGTAACAGAGTTACTCCTGAAAAACATTCAAACAAATTTAACAAATTAAGCACATAATGTAATCGATTTACCATATCATGTAAGTCAAAACATATAAATCGAAGATAAACATCCTCACAAATATGATACTGATACATAGTGATGCAACTTTCCATAAGTCTTTAACATGTACCATGTTAAAACGAGGGACTAGTGTATTGTATATGCCTAAGTATCCTTTGGCCATGAGAATACAAAACCTAATCCTAGTCAAATACATGTTAGCCTACTAGGTCGACATGTACTCGGTCCATACCTACTTGATGAAGACAATGTCATCCAATTGCATTATTAGTTATATTAATGTTTAGGTTAGAATAGAAGATCCATAAATGATTACGATAACTTAAGATTAGCAGGTAATTAGGTCATGTGGCCTAGACCCGAGTCTATGAATACTAAGTATAAATAACATTTTACGACATACATTAATTGTATTCATTATTATAGCATTAATTACTTTCTGACGCACTTGACAAACTTGGTGTCAGAGTATCTTTTATAGTCACAAAACTCTGTTTGGCTAAAAAAGAGATAGTCTTAAAGAGAACTAATACTTCTAAAATTGAAGGCTTGAAGTGTTTGAAATATTTATCAAAGTCTTCGTAAATATATAAGAACAATTTCAATTTGAAATTTATTAAAGTAATCAAAAATATTTGTTAAGCAATTTGGAGATACGACTCCATAAAAAAAAGTTGTTTGAAACAACCTCTAAACATCTCGTACTCAAGATGCTCTTACAATCAAATTGGAATAAAATTAAGAATCCCGAAATCAAAAGTTCAAATCTCAACAATCTCTATTTACTAGCGTATAAACGTTTTTTTTTAACTTTCACACACACACACATTAAATAATTGGAATACAAAAGAGAATTCAATTAAACTGATGAACTCAATATCAGTATAATTGTTGTTATTGATGATCTCACTCTGAAGTACGTTTAATTATATAATAACATGCATAAATGGTGATTAAGAAAATTACTCGGATCATTATTTAATTTATCATATCATTTCTTGTTTTTGAATGAAATTGAATATTTTGATTCTTTTTATTGATTTTGATGATGTTTCTTCACTATCATGTCAGTGGTCCTCATGTGATGGGAAGATAGATTTCAGGATCTTTTTTCAGAAACGATGAACCATCAGTAATATAATTTTCTTTGATTATTTGTGAAAAAATGTTATTTATTGTTATCGCGTTTGCAACGTTAGAAGTTAGGTTTAAGAACTAGTACAACTTGTAATTATTATTTATGTTAGTTAGTTGATTCATCTTTTTATAAGATACTGTCTAAAAAATAATATTTATTTTTGTAATTACTTTTTATTTGAAAAAAAAAAATTAGGAAAGTGTGATAAAGATATTGAACTTCTACGTCACAGTGTAATTACTAGGGAAAAAACGAAAAAAAAAAGAGAGAGAAAGGTTTAATATAATCACAACGAGGAATATTAATAAATGTGTGCTTAAAATTGTAGGTTTTGACGAAAATTTATATCAATAGAATGAAACTTTGAATAATGAAAATAATGTAACGTAGACAATGATAAAGCTAATGATTTTTTTTGTAGTCTAATGCCTTTGGAAATGCATTTCATAATGAATATTTTGACATTAATCGATGACGGATTTCCACATTTAAATATTGTTATGATCCTAAAATTTGGAATAAAATAAAGTGACAAATATATTCTTGTTGAAAAATAGCCCAAACATAAAATAGTCTTTTCTTTTTCCTTAGGATTATAGACATTAATGGGATGTATTTATTATTATAAAAAAATTGAGCAATGGTTGGTAATAGCCGTCATTGTCAAAACTGAACAGATTTAAGTAATTACTTTTTACAATAGTTTTGCATATTTTGTTTGGTAGGTAATTAGTGAGGCAAGAACAATATTAGTAATGAATGATTTGTATGTATGAGAAAATTGTGATGAGAAGAATGGTTGGTAAATGGTGGTGTAACATTAGAGTGGAGCATGTAATAAATTGCATGATGACGTAGTTGGGAGAAGAAGGTTGTTTTGGTAGGAAGAAGAGGAACGGGTAGGAAGAAGGAGAAGTTGCAATGTGGAGAAATGGAATAATAATAGATGTGGCTCCAAATCTACCGCAGGTTAATCTGCCTACCCCCAATCCACGTGTCTCTTAATCTGCCCGTCCCTCAAACCTACTCGCTTCTTCATCGTCCCCTCTCAATGCCTCCTTCTATTTATACACGCACCCTCCATTCTCAAACCACCTCACTCACCTTTCATCTCTCTCACTCACTCTCTTCTAACCGCTTTCTCTCCTTTACCTCTGCCATTCACGCACCTCCAGATGGTCACAGTCGAGGAAATCCGCAACGCCCAGCGCTCCCATGGCCCCGCCACCATTCTCGCCTTCGGCACCGCCACGCCCTCCAACTGCGTCTCCCAAGAGGATTACCCCGACTACTACTTCCGCATTACCAACAGCCAACACATGACCGACCTCAAGGAAAAGTTCAAGCGCATGTGTACGTACTCTCAACTCCTTTTTATGCTTTCTTCCTCTCACTCACTTTTTTAATTCGTTCATATTTGGAATGTTTTTCTTTGTGTACAGTTTTATATTTTTAATCAGTCATGATACTAATTTTCTGTCTGAATTTTAGGTCCATTTAAAGCTTACTTTCAGTGTTAGGTGAAACTTGACCAACCTTTGGTAAACTGGAGTTCATGGAAGTTTTAATTATGATAATAAGAGAAAAGAAAAGAGGTTTAGCTTTTCGGTTATACTCCTCAACAGTTTTTTTTTAGTAGTTCTGGTTTCTTAATTAGTTTCTTTAAGCAAGATGAGAAAAATCATTTATTAGTGCACCGGTGGTATTCAAAGAATTTGTGGGCAAGGTGTCGTTGAAACTGTGTCAAAACAAAAAAAGGTTATTTTTGTGGCTGATGTGATTACCTTTTGAAGTAAAAAGTGAGGGAAGTGATTTCAATTGTACAGGTGAAAAGTCGATGATAAAGAAGCGTTACATGCACCTGACGGAGGAGTTTCTGAAGGAGAATCCAAACATGTGTGCGTACATGGCGCCGTCGCTTGACGTGAGGCAGGACATAGTGGTTGTGGAAGTGCCGAAGCTCGGAAAAGAAGCGGCGAGGAAGGCGATAAAGGAGTGGGGCCAACCCAAATCAAAGATCACGCACCTGGTGTTTTGCACCACTTCAGGCGTCGACATGCCTGGAGCGGATTACCAGCTCACCAAGCTTCTCGGCCTCAGGCCTTCCGTGAAGCGTCTCATGATGTACCAGCAGGGCTGCTTCGCCGGCGGCACCGTGCTCCGTCTCGCCAAGGACCTCGCCGAGAACAACAAGGGCGCCCGCGTCCTCGTAGTCTGCTCCGAAATCACGGCCGTGACTTTCCGCGGCCCGTCCGATGCCCACCTCGACTCCCTCGTCGGCCAGGCTCTATTCGGGGACGGCGCGGCCGCGATGATCATCGGAGCGGATCCTGACAGAACCGTAGAACGTCCGATATTTGAAATGGTATCGGCCTCCCAGACCATTCTGCCGGACTCTGACGGTGCCATCGACGGGCACTTGAGGGAGGTGGGACTAACATTTCACCTCCTGAAAGACGTGCCCGGAATCATCTCGAAGAACATTGAGAAGAGTCTGACGGAGGCGTTTGCGCCGATTGGGATTAATGACTGGAACTCGATCTTTTGGATTGCACATCCGGGTGGACCGGCGATTCTGGACCAGGTGGAGGAGAAGCTCCGGCTGAAACCGGAGAAACTCCGGTCCACTCGGCACGTTCTGAGCGAATATGGAAACATGTCAAGTGCATGTGTTTTGTTCATTCTGGATGAAATGAGGAAGAAGTCGAAGGAGGAAGGGAAGGGTAGCACCGGAGAAGGGCTAGAGTGGGGGGTTTTATTCGGGTTCGGACCGGGTCTAACCGTTGAGACGGTTGTGCTGCACAGCGTTCCGTTGGAGGGGTGAGTGAACGTGAACGTGATGGTGATGATATGAGTGGATCATACTATGGAAAATTAGTATATCACTGTATAATAACTACTAATAAGGAAAGACCTCCAGAATCTGAGGAAAAGTGTGATTATGTTAATTAGTGTAAAATTTGATTAAGGATTGATGTTAGCATAAAGCATATTAGTGGAAAGATGATGGTGTCTGTGATTGAACTTGTGAAAGTTTTAGTGCTTAATGCCATTGAATTTGGTTTTGGTGCTTTTACTGTTAAAATGATCCATGGTCACGAGGTCCCTTGGCTCTTTCGTCTTCTCATGTGAACCCAATCATCAAACTACAATTATTTAAGGTTATAACTGGACGACAAAAACAAACATCTTTTCTCTGTACAGCTATTTTATAACTTTTTTTATTCAATAGTTTAGTGTATATTTTCATTAAATATCTAGTTATACAAAAAATATGGTTAAATAGTTTGTATTCTTAAAAAATTGGATGTAAAATTTAAATTTTTCAAATTTTAATATATTTTTATCTTTAAATATTAAAAATAAGGTATATTTATTTTATTCTAACATTAATTCTTTTTATATGTTAAAGGTACAAATTTAACTCATCAATTAAACTAAACAACTGTATCTATTAATTTTTTTAATTTGAAAATTAAACTATTTCAAAATTTGGATCAAGATAAATTTATTTTATGTCAAAATTTAACCCTAAAGAATGTAAAAAATGTTATTTTTATTTTAGAAATGAACATCTAAACGAGCATTTTTGTTTAGAAAATTATATGTAGTTATATAAAATTTAATAGGTTGAGAAATTAAACGTATTAGAGATACCTCCTTAATTAACCTCATTTTTAAGAGAGAAAAGTCAAGAGAAAGGTTAACAAATGACTCAGCTATTTCTAATAAAATGTAAATTTTCATAAAATTAGTATTAAAGAACATTTATTAAGCTTTAAAATGCGAATTTGAATACAGCGTTCTATTCCTTTGTACATATTATAAGACAAAAAGGGTTTGGCACACTTCAATTAAATAAACTTTACGTGATTAGAAAAATTAAAATGTTAATCAATTTAAATAATAGAACGAATAATTAAGTTTGCCTCGTAATAACTATAGTTTCAAAGATTTTTGCTCTTCACGCGGATTGATAACAGTGAGTAAATAGTTTTCTGAAATATTTATATTAAAATATTTCAATCTCTTAATAAATGCACATTTCTATAGAGATAAAATGGTTAATTTTGAGACAAAATAGAAATGAAAAAAATAACTATTAATCACTTTTGATTTGAATTTTAAAGAATTAAAATATTTTTATTTAATAAATAGAAAATAATTGATTTTGAGGTAAATTTTAAATAAAAAGGTTACTGTTTTATTCAATGAGGAGAACATTGTTCGATTTGAATTTTCTTAAAAATTAAAATTGTAGTAGTATTAGGATTACTTTTATTTTAATAATACTACAAGAAAATCATTATATAGTAAAAAAATAATTAACTAGAGGCTAATTTAATGTTAAATACTAATTTAAATTCTAATTCACAATTTAATTATATTTTTATTGATAATAAAAATTATTTTAGATATCAATAACTTTTAATATATGAAATAAAGTTTAACTTAGTTAATATAATAACTAATTATTTTTTATTTTAAATTTAATTTTGTAAAGTTAAAAAGATAAAAATGACATTTAATACGTGTGAATTTATAACCATAACGTAAATCTATAGTCCTTCCATTTCAAAACAATAATGGTGTAAACTTATCGCTCACTAAATAAAAATATTTAATTAGTATAAAATAAAATACCCTTAAATTTTCAACTACTACTGCGTCTACGGACACTTTATTAATTACTCTTAATTATAAAAAGAAATACTATTTAAAATATTATTTAGAAACAATTATTTTAGAAAAAAAAAGCTCAAATGCCTATATTTAAAATGATTGGAATGCTTTTTTTTCCAAAATTATTTCTGATATGATTTAAACCTTTCATTCATCTCAATATCTTGTTTCATCAAGATAATGTATATAAAATCTTTTAGATAATAACTAAATTTTTTTTTCTGTGATATCGATAATGGATAAGAAAAAAGATCTAGATTTATGGAAAGTAGCTTGGTAGAGAATGAGACTCATGTCATACATAATTTTAAGATTTTAAAGAACCATACACAATATTAAGTATGTGACCATGTTTGTAAGCTATTATTTATTGTTGTTACTATCGTTAATATATAATCACTACTCAATATTCCTATGAAAGCATTCAATTTTAAAAGCATCAAGATAAAACAAGAGATGGACATGAGTTTATATACACATAAGATACCTCCATTAGTAAGAGGCCTTTTGGAGTGGTACCAAAAGAAAATCCGTAAGGGGTTAGCCCAAAACGGACAATATCTTACCTATGTGGAGATCTGTATGTGTGTGTTGAATCTCCTTACACCTTTAAGCTTTTCGAGATGTTCACTTGCTCCACCGAACAATATGGACACTTAATTTTCTCAAACAACTTAATCTAACTATGTAGATATCTCACCTAGATAATCGATCAGACCTCATGCCCCAATTGAGCTAACCATATGCTCCATCGATCGATGAGTTCCTAAATTAGATTTCAAATCCGGTGAGTTTCCTAAACCAAATTTTGAAATCTGGTGAGTTCCTAAATTGGATTTCAAAATCCAATGTGTTTCCTAAAGTCAATTTGGTGGAGCATGATGAGAGCTTGGTGGAGCATGTGGAGAGCTTGATGGACCATTAGTAAAGCTCGGTGTAACATGAGAAAAAATGGAGCATGAGGAGAGAAAACTCTAGATGAAGTCTTCATAATAGCCAAGTACATTAAAGATCTAACATGATAACTGTTGAACCTCGACTCTTATGGCTCACTAGACTTGGGTATAGAGCTCCTATGTCATAATGAATGAACCAACCTAAAATGTGTATTATGTGAAATGACCAACCTATCCAAACCCACGCCTGAAAATAGCCCAAAAAATTCACAATCATATATAACAATTGTCATCTACCCTAAAGTTTAATAATTTCACAATATAATCAAGACATCAAAACAAAGCTTTTGATATTAATATATATACAAAGAAAAATACTTATATATGAAGGATAATACAAAAGCAAGGGAAACAAATATAAAAAAATATATATTGTACACACTTAACTAATAGGGTTAACACTTGAATTATCCATAGTGGACTCGTCACCTAACGCAACCGAAATTGCGGTGAGACGACAAATGAGAATTTTAAAAAAAAAAATGAACAATTCTTTTATAAAAGAAGTTGCCACCATAATTTATTGAGAAAAATTATGGAAAACCTAAAAAGAATGGTCAACGTAACCAAATTTTGAGTTCGGAAATCGATTTCGTGTGAAGAAGGTATTAGCACCCCAACGTCCATATTTTTAAATTATTTTGTCCCAACAAGGATTTACTTTGGTTCTAAGTATTCTAAAAATGAGAAATCAAAGTTATGTAGTTATTTTTGGACTTCTTTATTGAAAATGTTGATATTTTTTATTTTGATATTTTTATATATTTTTTAAAATTATTTTTAATAAATGGTGTCCCAACCAAACAAACGTAAAAACAAGTGAAAGATGAAACTATTTTTTATTATTAAAGATTTTGTATATTTTTTTAATTTTTACATGGTTGACAAAAATTAAAGTATTAAATACTAGAACGATGTGTATAATCACACGAATAATCATACCAGTTTAAAAATACAAGAAAATATTTTTCATGTTTTTATGGGTTAAATATGCTTTTAGTCCCTTAACTATCATGCTATTTTGGATTTCGTCCCTCTTCGAAAGGTTTGTTCATTTTCGTCCTCTTAGTTTGGAAACTCGTATTTTTAGTCCTTAAAAAGTAACGACGTTAGATTTTCTGTGAGGTGGCTAACAGTGAGCCACATGTGATACCATCTTCCCTCATAAGTGTGTGCCACATTGCTTCTTCTTTTTTTTTTTTTTTGAAATTAGATTAAGTATGTGCCACGTATATTTTCTTTTCTGAAATCAGATAAGGGGTTTTTTGTTCGTGAAAATAATTAGGGTTCTTAAGTTATCTTGAATCAATTGAAGGAAAATTAGTTTTACTCGAAGCAAGGAAGAAAGGAAGCAAGCAAGGTGGTCGTTGCAGTGGTAGTGAAAGAAACGATGGCGGTGAAAGAAAGACGTAAGCAATCATGGTAATTTTTTTGTTTTCTTTTTCGTTTAGGATTGATGGAATTTGGGCGTAATTATTCACAGATAAAATAATGGCAAAGGGTGGCGAAATTTCAAGTCTCCGCCATTACTAGCCCCAATTATCTCACCCATAGATAAATTGGACTGAAGCAACAAATCCCTATCCCCTAATTCAGGAAGTGACTGAACACTCTAGTTCACCCCGAAATCATCACTAGAGCAAGCAACATTAGGCTTGACCTGATTCACCCCACTAGCTTGCATCAATTTCTTAGCAGCTGAAGCCATGCCATTTGCAAACCTATGATGATGATGGTTATTATGGTAATGGTGTTGTTGTGAGAGTCTATACCTTGAAGACACATAAACCGAGGGACTAGGAGTGCTAGGCCTAGAAACACAAGGTGTGGAATTGCCATTGTCGATTCTGCCAGAACATGATTTTGAAGGGTGTGGGCGAACCTGTCCGTGTTTGTTGTTGTTCTCTTTGGAAAGCTTCATGGAACATTGTGTTTGTTTTCTTTGAGAGACAAAACATCCCATTGGAAATGGGGTTTCGAAGTTCTCGTCGACGGCGGGATCAGACTCCGACCGTGGGTGGCGCTGCACGGCAGGGGACATGAATCGGGAGCTGACCTCTCGGACCCTAGGTCGCCGCTGGGTGGGAGGCAAAGGAGATGACAGAAGGGCGGTGAGATTGGGGTTGTCCTCTTGCATGATCTGAACCTGCACCATGGGAAACCCCAAATGGATGAAAATGGAGACTTAGGGGAGGGAACAATGGTGGGTGTGAAAGAGATGAGCGAAAGTTTTGAGTGATTGGGGGAGAAGAAGGAAGAGTTTGGGGAAAACGTGGCAAATACTTAATCTCACTTCAGAAAAGAAGGCAACGTGGCACACACTTATGAGGGAAGCTGACATCACACATGGCACACCGTTAGCCACCTCACAGAAAATCTAATGTCGTTGCTTTTATAAGGACTAAATATACGAGTTTCAAAACTAAGAGG